AGCCCAATAAGTTACTTTTGATTAAATTGCATATTCTGGAATTTACGTGAATTAAAATTAATTTTGGGTAGAATATACTTAAGAGTAGGTTTTTTTTTTTGCTGGTGTTAAATGGAAACTACTATATGCGATTTACTCAAATTTGGGTTATTGGCCCCGGAATTGAGGGAAGAGTACTTAATTTTGGGTAGTTTTTCACCTCCGTGTAGAATTTTAAATCGTTAGTTTCCACGTTTCTTCCGGACCTTCTGGTCTTAGAGTTACCACTATGCTACAATGTTACTATCATGTTTGTCCATGGTATTAAGCTACAAGGAGGCAAAGAAACGGCATTAGAACCACTTATGAAATTTCGACAAAGAGATTCCTTATGGAAATCATAAATTTAGCTTATGAAACTTAAAAAAAAAGTAATATAAAATGTATTAGACCGAAATCGAATCATGATCGTTTAGATTATTGATTCCGTGATTTGTTGAATCGTCTATCAACGCAACGAAATAGAATAGGTTAAAGGTGTATAAGAACCACTCGGAGTACCTCATGTATTACGATAATCATTCATAAGTCGTGCTTATGAAATACATAACTCCTGCCTATAAAATTCATAAGTATCTTAAGAAATAAAAATTGTCCAAGTTCATAAGTCATGTCTTATGGAATTCTTAAGATTTTGTTGCCTCAGTGTTACAGTAGTACAACGATAGTAACAATCATGTCTGTCATATAGATATTAATTGAATTCGCCCTATATGTGTATTATTTTGATGGTGATTTGTAGTCAACTGTGCCTACCGTGCGGGACCGAAATCCGTACAGCACCGAAATCCGTACACCCTGTTGAATTTGTTTATTTATAAGCATCATAACAATGTAAATGTTATACATGAATACATATTCATGTTCATTCATGCATTAGCTTAATGTTTACGTCAACAATTAAGCAGAATGTCATGCAATTAAAATAAGAAAAATAAAAACCTTAACACGTGTCGGGCATTTCTGTCAATCGGTTGCGTTCTTAACGATTTTCTAAGAAAATCTCTCAGATTTACTTCAGTTTGTTAAGCGTATTTCAGTGATGTTTGCAAGTAGTTTTCTGAAGGTCGATCGAAAAGGTTAGTGTTTATCGTTTTATATCTCAATTCTAAGCAATGGATCGTTCATATGGTATTTATTTATCAAAATTAGTACTGTACGGATTTCGATCCTAATATAACAGCTGATTCTAAATCCGTACACTTGTGCATCACTAATGACGATTCTACTTTATCCAATGTTTTTCAGCAGATCATGGAAACTAAATACACGCCGGAGGATTTGGAGAAGACTGTGGCAATGATGCGTGCGGAGAAATCTTACCAAGAAGCATCCAGGGATTTTGCCGTTCAATTCACCACCATAAGAGATGCCGTATTCAATCGCTACTCTCTTATTTTATTCGTATTGTAAACGTTATATTATTAATATCTTTTAATGAAGAGCGTCCGAAAAGTAAAACAACGCAGCTCCCCTACAGGATATCACCAACACGCATATACAAATTAGGGACCATGCATAAATGACGTAGAATTTGAGGGGGGAGGTGAAGGTTTCAGAATTTGTGACCGGCCATGTATTGGATATAGCCAAATACGCTACGAGGGGGGGGGGAGGAGTATAAAATTGATCAAAAATATGCTACGTCATTTTTGGATGCTCCCTTACAGAGAGCAGATAGAAATGGGCCAGAGAGCATTCCCAGCAGTAGCTACCAGCGAGGAATGACTGGAAATACACATGAAAGTAGTGCGGGCGAAAATTGATAAAGAGAACGCAAAGAAACAAAGGATTGAGGAACGACAAAAGAAAAAGGTTGAGCGAGAGAGGAAGAGGAGGAAGAAAAGGAAGAAGAGCAAAGAAAGTTCCATAATAAACAAGTACCATGAACGAACTTTATCCCGGATGGGTAAACTTTCCCACAAATGGTTTGGATGATACCCCGAACACGTCGTTAAGGGGAAGCAGACCGCTCCGAAAAAAAAATTACGTTTTGATTTTTCTAAAAATATTGAAAAAAAGTATCAAAAATCTAAAAAAATCACATTTTTTCTAATTTTTTAAAGAAAATTCACGGGCAAAAACATGTTTTATAAGTCATTATGGCATAAAGTTGGACTCAAAAAACCACAAAACATCAACTTTTCGGTTTTTCTGAGAGTCCAATTTTTTTCATGATGGGATAGAAAAAATTTTTTTGCATGTAATTTTTGACAAAAATCTAAGGAAGAAACTGATTTTCTTGGATTTTTGATAATTTTTCCCAATGTTTTTAGAAAAATAAAAACGTACCGAAAATATTTTTTTTATTTTTGGGCCGGTGAGCTTCTCCTTAAGCTCTCTATTATGGTTATTTTTATTAGGGTTGGAAGCAAGAAAGCATTATAACTTGAAAAGGCAATGGTAACAATGGAGAAGAAGCAGAAGAAAGCTGTGGAAAAGAAGCAATGAATCTGTATTTTTATGATTATTACTCTCTTGACGTATTAAATTAAATTAAGTTATAGTCGTTATTTTACCAATTTTAATTTTCATGCACAAAACGAAAAACTAATCCTTGATGTCAGTTCATTGTCTTTTTTTGTTGGTTTCTAAGATGGTTGTATTTTTCTTTTACTTATCCGCCATTATAGGGCTACCATCTTAGGAACCGGTTAATTTATCGCTTGATGCCAGTGGGTTGATGGAGTTCCAAAGTATGGCGCATCTTGCACGTTATCACATGTCAAATTTCAAAAACCTCGAAGTTGTGATCGGAGGAAAACTCCAGTAAGAATATTTAACCCAAAGTACTGGTATAGAATAAAATTTGGAAGAAATTAATCCTTAAACATGATATTAGTTAGCATAAAAATCTAGAACAGTTACCTTCTTAAATAAAAAGAAACCAGTTACCTCTCCTTTGAATCGATTGGAGCATCAATTAATCTAACGCTGATATCATTAGTTAAAAAAGTAAAAGTAAAAAAAATTAACTTGAACCTTTAACGAATGATTCTTATGTAAAATCGTGCACTGAATTCAACAATGTAGTCGAAAAAAATGTCAGTAGGATAGTTTTTGGGATACAGCTAAAAATGAAAATTCACTTTAAACAAGTTTGATTACTGTAATACAAATATCTCCGGTTGTAATGAGATTATATCAATTATTTTAACGCTAAATTATAGGTAAGAATTTTTTTCGTTCGATCAATTGAACATCAATTGTCAGTGAGATTGATGGTATTGTTGTTAGTTAATAGTTTGTTTTTTAAGTTTTCCTAAGAAAAATTGAATTTCTGCTAAGTTTTTAAGCAATGTAAATTAAAATGTTTATGGTGGTTCTACCATTACTCTCACGGAAAAATAGTGTTATAACGATCGAAATAAAATTTTATCACCTTTAATTTGGCGTTAAAATAATTAATATCACTTCATTGCAGCCAGAGATATTTGTGTTTTCGTTTTTTTTAACGTGAGATTTCATTTTTTAGCTAGGGGAAGGAGGGGCATAGTGAGCATCCCGTACTTTGGCTCTGGATCTCCAACTGCATGAAATTAATCAACTGGTAGTAAAATATATTAAGATATCATTAAGATATCTTAATGATATTGATCCTACAGCCAACAAATTTGTTCTGAACGGCCGGAAGTCCAAGCTGGAGCACGCGCGATGCTCACTATGCCCCACCTGTTCACTATGCCTCTCTTACCCCTATATCTCCAAAACTATCCTACCGAGATTTTTTTGGACTACATTTTTGGATTCAGCGCACGATTTTACATGGGAAATGACCAGCAGCGTACAAAGTTCAAATATGCTGTAAACTAGTGTATTTAAACGAATATAGCTGTTTTGGACTCTTAGCCAAGCAACTACAAAAAAAATCTTTATTCAAGATAGCAACACGTTTTTTTTTCATTGATTTGGATCGATTTACATTCATGTACGGATTTTGATTCATGACTGTACGGATTTTGATTCATCCTCAACACAGTGTACGGATTTCGATTCAAAACTGTACGGATTTTGATTCAATCGTAAAACGCTGTACGGATTTTGATTCAAGATATGTGCAATTTAAATCCTTTTTTCTAATAATTAAAGGTAATTTTAAGACCTGGTGTTTGCAAATATTGGAAAAATAAAGATAAATGTAAAGGAAAAAGATGTGATACAGAGCATAATGTGATAGCATTATTTAGTATTGACCGTTAATGATTCTCTCGTGCTTAGGTGTACGGATTTCGGTCCCGCACGGTACATTCACTAATCAAGTTAGTAAATGCATTTGCATAAAGCTAATCTTCTGGTACGGGTATTGTAATTAGTTATAATGGCACAAGTCCATTGAAATAACATCACTTGATTTCCAGAATAATCCTCAATAACTATCATGTTGATTGTTTAACTTGTTTTTGTAGACACAGAAGAATAACTCCTCAATCTAAAGAAGGTAATTTATGGGGCCAATAAACACTACAATATGGTTTTACTACTGCTAAGGTACATCGTATGATTGTACCATACGATATATGATACAACCATAGCGGTTGTGCAACCACTTTGGCCCCATTACATACATATAAAACTAAAATGTTTCATAATTGTCGTTTTATAAACTTCTTCATTTCACGATTATACCCCGTTCAAGCCATATCATAGACGCAGTTCTTCGAGTTCTTCAAACTGCCCATTGCGCCCTCCTTACTCAACCTGCCACCCAAATCCTGCAGATGGCTTCCGTTTCGTATTCTTTCTGGCGTGTGTGCAACACAAAACGTCAAAACAGTCACCAGTCGCGCACCAATACACTGCCGATCCGAAGCGAACACTTGCATACCGGTAGATGCTTCGCGCATCGTGACGACCCCACGCTTGCTGCGATGCCAAATGGAAGAAGTAGGAACATTGAAATCGACGAGCTTTCAACTACACTCTCGTACTCAGTCTGGCATGTGTATTGTATACAACACCAGTTTATTCTTGGTCTTTGAGTTTGAGAGCTGCACAGTACGGTACAGAGTGTAGTATAACACACGACTGCCAGTGGCAGAGAAAGTTCAGCTCAGTTTTTAGGCAACCTATAAAGGAGACCCAGGAGGAGGAAAATATTACCCGTAACATTACGGATGAATGCAACCCCCAAACGGGCCCGGATAGTACGGACACTATTTTTACGGAAACGGAAGAACACATTGCAGACGGATTTACTTCGGTCGAACAACAGGTAAGTGGATAGCGCTAACTCGAAATTTCGTATTAAATTTTTCCTTTTTTTGCTGGTTATGTCTCGAGTGTCCATTTTATGCTTCTGGGGAATATGATGGCATCGGGTGGAGGAAAGTATCCTTTGGTTGTGATATTCAACTCGGAATCTGCGATTAAACACACAACACGAGAAATATTTCGTATAATTATTGGGATCGTTTTTGACGACGTCGTATTCATCAGAGCAATCCTGTAATTATAGGTTTTCTATCTATGCTGTCATTTTCATTGCACCAAAGTTGATGATAATCTTGTTATTGAAAAAGTTATACCCAGTTGGTTTTTTGCTTGGGTAAGTAATTTTATGTGCATATTTGGCAAACGTGGTACAGTAGGGTAAAATAAGCTGATAAAAATTGACGGCTTATTATTTTTGCCCAGCTTTGTATAAAGCCTAAGAGCGTTAGTTCCTAGAATATGCATGAGATGGCGCTTAAGTAGAATTACATTGTACAATCGATTAGTATCAATATGGTAACCTTGATAGGACCTACAATATTAATAATATGTGTATTATCTTGTGTAAAAGAGATCAAAATCATCTTATTTCAAACTGTTATAAAATTATTTTGCTAATTAATTACATTAACATTCAAAAAGAATAGGTTACTACGAATGCTATATTTGCCATCAATAATGGCACTTGCACACAAACATACATAAACTTCGTATATGTGTGGTATTATTTTTTTCGTTTGCTATGGTTGTTACATTTTTTCATACGTACTTCAACCACCTCCTCTCAATGGCCCCCATGATATCGAAAGAATTGCCTGGTAAAATGCGACATTTTGGACCAATCTATGATGCAGCGGAACAAGAATGTGTTTCGTTGGCGTGAGACAGGAGAAATTGAAGATTGATATTCCTTGATTCTAAAAAGGCAATTTGCAAGGCGTCCGCATCGGATACATCAATCTCAAATTAATAGATAGAAGCACAGTGCTCTTCCGTGAGTATAAAAAATCAATATTCGCAGATGGATTCGTTGGGACGTAAATTTGGTTGAAATCCTAAGGACGTGCACTTGAGGATTGAAGTACATTATTGCATATTGACAGTATTCTACGGGGTCGATAGCAGTTAAGGAACCATGAATGTCTGCAAAAGCAGTGATCGGCCATGTTTTAGGTTTAGGAAAATACGTTACAAGGGCGGTCATTTAAGTATGTCCCTTACGCGTTCCGCGACACTTAGGCCACTTGCCATAGTGAAAGCGAAGAGGCGAGCGAAGCGTTGAAATTACATTATTGGTATTATGCCTTACATTCGTTTCAACGCTGCATAATATTTCCGAGTTGGTTTTCAGTTCAGAGCTGGTAAATATGACGGCCGTCATGTAACGATGAGAAAACAGGTCCTCTCACTATAAAGAGACGAAACTACCTCACACAAAACACAAAAATTGTATCTTTAAACATTTTAACATTTCAAATTAAAAGCTTCTCGAATTTGGTAGTTTTAACTACGAATATTTTCAAAATGAATTGTTCTTCTTTGGTTTGAAAGTTTTTCTTTCACTATCGACATGGTATTTTAAAAGTTCATACTTTCAAAACAAAATCACCTCTTGAAAAGCTCATTGTCATGGTCCAAAAATCCAATAGGGCATATAGTATGAGAATCAAACCGCAGAAAATTAATCGTGCATCGTGCAGTTCCGGGAACCGATTCCGGTACCGGAGGTAATGAGAAAGAGTAAACTTTTCGGAGAAGGTAAGATTGCAACAGATATTTCGAGAGTGGTTTTGAAAAACTAAATGATTATTTTCCAGATCGCCAGCATATTGGGACGTTAGAGCACACTGCAGAGTTTTTCGGTGGCTATCAATAGAGTTTGCAATGTATCGCTGGAGGGATTACAGATTCCGTTCGTTTCTATAAGATACTGGTAAGATTTAGTCGCACCAGGTTTCGCTGCTTATCGTCGGCCAGCAGTGTAAACAAGATGCACTTTCGTTCGACAAAAGTTCACTGGATGTTGGAGCCCCGCGTCTGGGAGAAAACCTTCACGAAAGCCATCCGCCAAAGAAAACATCCCTGATATTAACATCCAGATGTGAATGAAAAATAAAATATGTGTATATTAGCAAAATATTTAAATAAATATAAATATTGGTTACGTTTCCTTTCATAAAAGCAATTAAATTAAAAATAATTCGTATTTGAGATGAAAACTTATACTAATTACGGTGAAATAGCCTTCTTTTGAAGCAAAACTTTTCCAACGTCAATCTAAAAGTATTCGGTTTTTAGTTTGACAGTTCTACAATTCGATTTGAAAGTTTAAACTTTTAAAATTAATAATATGCTAAACTTTTGTTTTGACAGTTGGCTGACTTTCATTTTAAAAGTTAGATACTTTCTACCAAAAAGAACCAATGCAAACTTTTAATTCTATCAACGGTTTTTTTAATTTTATCAATGATTATTTTTTGTGTGTATCATTAGCTTTCTCGTCATTTTTCAATGATCAAGCACTCATGAGAATAATTCTTATGTTGTTTTGACATCAACATTTCTAACTGATTTAGATGAATTTAAGCAAACAACCGTATGAAATCGGTAAAGTGAATACACTATTAAGATTTCCTCGGTACAAGTAACTTTAAAGGCATTAGATGAGCTAGTAATTACGATGACCACAACACATGACAACAAATTCGATGAGATTTTGAAGAAAATCTATCATCGTTTTCTGATCCAATGATAGTGACAGAAGTATCTCTGTAAGGCTCTGAACCATTTGAAGAATTTTTTAACTTTTTATTAAAATTTGATAGATGGAAAGTTATCGACTAACCCTGCTATCCGAGCATGGTTATTTCTGACAGACAAGAAGTTAAATTTGGACAACCGTGGCTCGAAAACCGGTCGATCGACAGCACGGGGATTTTCGAACATAGAAAATAACTTTCGAAATGTCACTTTTAACCACGAGTTAAATTTAATTCAGCAAATGGTTCACAGCCTAAGGCTCTGAACCATTTGGCGGATTTTTTTTTAACTTTTGGTTAAAATTTGACAGATGGAAAGTTATCGATTAACCCTGCTATCTGAGCGTGGTTATTTCTGACAGACAAGAAGTTACATTTTGACAACCGTGACTGAGTTCTGCTCGAAAGCCGATCGATCGGTAACACAAGGATTTTCGAACATAAGAAATAACTTTCGAAATGTCACTTTTAACCACGAGTTAAATTTAACTCGCGAAATGGTTCACAGCCTGCATATCGCGTGAGATCTTTCATTGAAAATGACATTTGCCAGCCCTGGTTCAGTTTTGCCAAACAATTAAAGTTTCTTCTTATTCTTCTTCTTCTTCTTCTTCGCATTTCAAGCTTATTGCATATCGCATATTAGCTTATTGCGAGCTCTCAACTTAGTGTTCTAGATGCACTTCCACAGTTATTAATTGAAAGGTTTCGATGCCTGTACCATTTTTGCATTGGTATAATTGTGTGGCAAGGCAAGGCCAATCATACTTCTATGCCCAGGGAAGTCGAGAAATTTTCCAACCCGAAAAAATCCTAGACCGGACCGGGAATTGAACCCAGCCACCTCCAGCATGGTCTTGCTTTGTAGCTGCCCCTTTACCGACTGAGCTAATGGATGCCCCAGTTAAAGTTTGTCAGATTGATTATATTTTCATATAATCAGCATGTCGAAAAATTCTTGTTTTAAAGCTTGCTTCGTACCATTGCTTATAATGTGATGCGACAACAGATTTGATTGTGTGCGGGTAAGTCTTTAAATCGTACAAATACAAATATGAGAGCAGGTTTATTAAGCATTCAATCACAGTGAAAAAAATAAGTAGGCTTAAACGTGCGAAGGCTTCAAAACATTAGAGAGCCGACTATCGCGAGAAACAATGGGGTAAAAAACCTAATCATTGTTGTTATCATAAATAGTTTATTGTGTTGTCGCTATACTTCAACAGGCTGACTAAAGCCCCAATGATATTATCATAGTTATAAAACAACAAAAGTTACATGCCAAAAAATCATTCAAAAAAGCAGTAAAAAATACATAGAACAGGATATCTACTGTAAAAACCTGGAAAATCAGGGAATATCAGGGTATTCAATAGTTGGACCTGAAAAATCAGGGAATTTAGTTCAAATTCAGGAAAATATTTCTTTATAACAGAAACTTATTAATACGTATGGCTGACTTCGCTAGTTTCAAACGACTTAATTACTCGGTGTAGTTTGAGGATGGTTTTTCATTTCAAATTTTAAATAGAGTTGAGAACTTGTGGTTGTTCAATGGTTGATGTTGCATTTTTGAAAGTTGAGCAAAAGTTTCTCAAATAAAAGGGATTTTGAGCCTATTATAAATTCAGCTCCTACAGTCAGTCAGTTGAATGGCATGGTTTCAACTGAGTTGATCAATTGACTTGCCTTGTCTAAACCCAGCTTTAAGAGAAGATGTTGATTTTTTTCTGAATACTACTAGTTTTGGTTCCTTATTGTGTTCTTAACAACTTGATTAGCTCGGAGAAACTAACTAAGTGAGAATTTAGGATAATGGTCTTGCTTGACAGGATTTTTTTATTGCTTAGAGTAGCACTTATATGATTGAATAATTATTCAAATATACGAAGACAAGCATTGCCTTTGACATCATAGAGTGGTTTTTATTGAGTATTCTAGGCAGTCTTGTAAGCGGTCACGGTAGTCGACACATTTTCTGTGATAATCGACTGCTTTTGCCTCCGACACTTGGAAAACAAGCTAATAGTACAGTACCAAACTAAAATGTCATACGACAGGCTCTGTCATATGACACTGTCGCCGAAGCTGATGTTGTGGTTGTGTGAATTCTGAAAATAGCAAGCAATGATGTCCTAGGAATAACATTTCTGATCAGAAATGGTTTAATTTACACCAAATTGAGGAATTAGAACGAAATTACTCATGTCATATGATATTTGATAATTTTCTTTTCTCTCGA